ATCAGGTGACCAAATTATTAAATTCATTTGGGACCTTTATGGATTTTAAGAACTCCTTCTCTAAATTTAAGAAAGAGCTGAGGACACCCTTGGTGGGCAGTGAGCTGTTTTATAGCCGTTTTAATACATGTACAAATTGATGGTTTTTGTCTCTGAACTTGTGAAAAAGTTTCTTTCATAATCTATATTACTAGTTGCGATCCTCTCTTGATGATGTCTTATAAAGCCAGAACATTACTTGAATCACTGATGTTTACAGCTGCACGAGTGTATAGCATACTGTGTACCGTATGTACGAACTGCAAAGGGGACAGAGACCTTCGTCAGGCATTTTGCCTTTAGTCTCTCTGTTCCCTTTTCGGTTGATCCGAAAGAAATAAAGATTTCAATTCAATTCAATTGATTTCCTCCCACAAAGTCCTCCGCTCTTTGCAGCCTTCAGCAGAGGGAACGCTGGACAGAGGGTTAGTGGAGAGGAGGAAACCACCAACCGTCGTAAGCAGAGAGCTTTGGAGGGAGGAGGCTTCTATTCAGCTTATGCTGCAACCCACTATAATAAGGATCATACGACGGGCTAGTTGGTTATACATTACGCAAATAAAGGGAGCCTTAAAGGTTATTCCAAGTCGTGCACAGCTAGGGTGTCGGCAGTTGAGACAGAGTTGTCTTGTTTTTTGCTTGACATTGAGAAAAGTGTGCAATATGAACTCGTATATTCCGGAAAAGTGCCGCAACTTCTGCAAACAAAGATTTTGCCAAATTAAACATGCTGCCCGTGTAGCTACAGATGCTGTACATGCTGGTACCTGCAGCACTAACTCTTCTAATGCAAAAACCGAAGAATAGCACATTGCATGTGCATCCATCAGTGCCTCGTTTTGGATATTTACTTCTAACCTTTTATACCAATAACGCAAGCATGTGCAGCAGACATACCTGCACCCCGACATTCTCTTTGGTGTTTAGGTAACTTGGTAAAAGGTCTATAGTCATTTAAATTGTTTTATTTGTTACTGATGCAATTTTTTTTTCTGGCAATGTATTGTGCTATTAAATTTTTGAAATAGTGTGGTTTATGAACGCGGATTTAACTGGCCACTCGTGTACAACGAATACAAGAAACTATATTTACTGCAAAACAACAAAGAGGGCAGCTAACAGAAATTCACATGTCACATAACCTTGGCCGTATGCTCAGCTCAATAATCTATTAGCAGAGGCACAAAACGTTTGCCATAGTTTGGGACATAAGCTGCTGCTAGGGGCAACACTGTCGATAGTGGGGCATAGCGCACAACGAACCACCGCCGATGGTAGCGATTTAGGCTGGCAGTTGCACCAGTACAAACGTGCTAGTATACTTTCGTAATTCTCTCTCTGCTTAGCGATTACTTCCATAAAACAAGAAGTTTAACATATTGTTGTTATAGAGACACTACCATTCATCACTGAAAATTGCTAATGTTAGTGATATAGCACTAACACAGCACTACATAAGCGCTAAATTAAGTTCAAGTCAAGTGAGGCTTCAGAAATATATTGCTCAAGAAGCGAGGAGCACGCGCCACTTTTTTGGGAGGCGCGCCACTTGTTCGGTTGCAGTTACATGGGGAATTGGTTTCTTGAAACCTAGTTTCGCAACACAAGATTCGCCAACAAGATGCATCATGTGAGCCACTTCAGACGGGGCAATTTCTCCCAGCAACTTGGCGTCGGAACACCAGCAACACGAGTCGCCCGCTTTCACACGCAGCAACCGAATGCTGCAATTTGCTATCATCATCATTAAATATTATTTTTCTTGCACTATTTAGACACACAGTTATGCACTATAAACATGTTTTTATGCATATAAATGTTGTTGAGAATAGTATAATGCATCTTTCTGAAACTGTTTATTTACAAAAACAACCAATTTCAAACCAGAACCAAGTCTTTAGCTGTCATCATCCCTGCACATGAAAATATTGCGTGCCTGATTGGCCTGCTGCCGCTTCAACGCCTTTGAATTGCTCCGAGTTGCTCATTTGTTTCGCGCCGAACCCGATCTCAGCAATGCGTGCAGATTTAGGGAAAGCTAGGGAACAACTCGCCAGCCACCCCAATAGTGGTGAGAAAGGTGCCCTGTCTGAAGCTGGCCTAAGAATTTTAATAGCGAGTTCGTTTCACACGCACTGGCACCGTTCGAGTTCTCTCCCCAGAATGCATCGCACTCGCAGAGTGTTGCACTGAGAACTGGACTCAAACGAACATGCCCAATGCACCGAGTGCAGAAGACTGATGCTGCCGCCATCTATGTTGTAAAAAAAGGTACCAACCTCAAACTGAAACTAGCGCCTTTCTGTTCGGAGTGATGGGTAGGAATGCGAGAGTGCAGTGGGCTACCAACGTTTATCTACAAACGTTGGTCGCTGCAACCTGTAGTTTATATTTGCGATGACTTCAAGCAACTCTGCTGTTGCAGAGATGGTTACAGACGGTGTAAATTTCCGCAACCAGCGGTCTACAAAGCAGCTGGTTGCAATCTCTTTATAACTATGCTTTATAATCGCTTACACTGAAAAAAACTGATGATGCTGTCCGAGTAGAAGCTTGATCCGTTTAAGCATGGTATTATGCGTGAACCACTGAAAGGGTACGGCTTATAACTAGTCTGTTGGAATATCCAGCAAAACTTTTCGTGGGACTTTCGATTTCTATCGTCATTACACGTGGATCAGATATTAGCCTTGGTGAGGGCGTCGAGAACGAGAGATTTCTCGAACGAAATATGACGGGGCAAGTTAGCTGACGTAGGTAAATGTTAAACATGATGATGTTGCCGAAGTCTCGGGTAAAGTCCCTATGTTTGGCTTTCTCTGATGCTTATTAAGCACTCGCAGGTTTCTGCTGGGGGAGTTTTATCGACATATGTTAAATTTTTCATCCGCACACGGATGGTGATAAACATCTCGGGGGGCCGCTGATGCGTTTGTTTTTACACACTGGTGAGCGACTTAAAACCTGTAAATAAAGCACGGTTTGTCAATTGCTTCTCCCATGAAATAGCAGACGCTCACAATTCAAGCTTGCGTTTCATTCCGTTGCCCGCGGGACGCGATTTCTATCAGAAAATCTACTTTTTTTCCTTTCGGTTCCGAGACACATCGTAGCACACGAACCCTCGTTGTCTGCTCTCGCTCCTCGCCGGAGCGAGGCATGACGGGGGTTGCATTTTGGCGCACTCCCGATTTCCTCGGTGCAGCGAGTGCATGCACGCGTGGGGTGCCAGCCCTGAAACGAACTCAGAGAGTGCAACCACTCGTGGAGTGCCGGCTGAAACGAACCCGCTCCACTCTGCGAGTGGGCACGCGTGGGCACGAGTGCCGTGAAAAGAACTCGCTATAAGACATCACATCTGATCAGCACGTGTGTGCACATGTGTGCACACTTTGAAGATTTGTGCGTGAATGTCCGGTAGATATTAGAGCCGGTATTTTTACAGTACTTGCTACAGCTTTGCGGCAAGAGTGTATGAACTGTGAGACACCTGTCTATGTCAAACGAGCTAATTTGTGTAAGCACATATGCATGTTCCAGTGCCTGATACAACAACACGCTTGTTGACGTTTTATTATGAGCATGTTAATCTAAATTAGCTTTGTGTTAAACACTCTTTTCTTACCGTCGCAGTTGTGCTTAAAATAAACTGAAGAAAACTTTCAGCCTTTCCATGCTGGTGAAGAAGGAGGATGAGCGAAGCTGTACGTTTGTCCCGTATGTTTCTTCTTCGTTTTCATCTGTTTTGCACGCTGTTTCCGACGATGCATTCCCACTAACTTGGCCAGCTATCCATTCCTCTATGATAGCTGGAAAGGTTGCTGCCATCTATGAGTGATGGCGGCAACCAGACTGGTAGTCTGGTTGCTGCCGCCGCTCACAGATGGTGTTAGCTCTCCAGAGTTTTGTGTAGACATTTGTTTGGTACCAGACACAAAGCTGGAGGAACTAGCCCTTAACAGCTCCGCTGTGATAATGTTGTTCTATTAATCTCAAGATACTTCTGGAATCCATTTTGAGTCAAAATAAAGAGAGGCCAGATACACGAAACAATCTTGCGCCAAAAATGTGCATAAGACAAAACTTAAAAACAAATTCGTATTCACGAAACAAAATTTTCGTAAGTTTTGCGCAGGTTATGATGAAATCCTACAACAGCTCCCAGACTGTCTTACGCACTTCTTACGATCAAATCAGCATGGCCGACAGCGTCGCTCAGTTGGTCGCGACAACCAACGGACGTTTCTTTTTCTATGTGCGCTTCTCACGCGTCCACACTTCAAGCACCAAAAAAAAGTAAAAAGTACTTGAAAGAGACCACGACGAACGAAAAAGAACGCTGGATCCACAAACACCCGGGAAAAGCTCCAACGGCCACGATTCCACGGACCCCGACTGAGCGAGCTCGGCAGATAGGCCAAGCAGGCACTCCGACTCGGCGCAGCGATGCTCCGACGGTCCTTGGCCAAGACCGTCTGCCCACGACCGGCTGGCGTGCTGAATGGAATATGCCCGCGCGACCCTTGTGAACCCTTCCCATATTATAGTTTGATCGCTGACCTCAATTCTAGATTAAGAGGTCAATCTCTTCCTCTTATCATCTCCTTGTTTTCCGAGGCAGCGGTGACAAACGCTGTCGTCAAAAAGGGGCTCTCATCGATTTTATCTTTGTTTTGTGTGATATCGAGCTCAAATAAACGATGTATAGATTACCTTTGCAACATGGTATATACACTTTGTTATCAGTATTCCATTGCTTCGAGCTGTGGTGACCTAAAGCACACACAGAACCACCGATCCCGAGCAGTTGCACAATTGTGCCCTGAACTTTAAGTTAAATAAAACAAGAAAGAAGTTTGTCACATCAGTGCTTTTTTTGATAGGAGGATTGTAAAGAATTGTGTGAAGCAATTTGCAGCAACCTGACACTATGCAGCTTCTTCACATTGCAGCGGTGAGTGTCAACCTCTTGAAGAAAGTGAATGAGCGCAAGTATGCAAATCATTCCTCTGATGGGCCCATCTACTTGGACGGTACAGGGTCCTATAATATGCTCACCTGGTTGCACGTCCACGGGCACCCTCTCCGCAGGCTTCTCGAGTGGTTCCACGTCCCTGCCACAGTATCCCTCACGCCAAAGTTTCTGCCAATAGTACACGGCCGAAGGCAAGGGGTTCACGGCGGCGTTGGCAAGCAGGGCAAGGCCTTCCTTGTGCGCAAGAAGCTTGCTTTCGTGCAGCTTGATGGCTTTGGCTGGAGACATTCCGTCGTTGAAATAGCCGAAGAACGTCCTCTTCGTCTCCGACAAGGGAGTGAGACGACGAAGTGCATCCGCAGACTCTGTGCTGTGCGAATGCTCCTTGTGATGGCGCAGCTTGATCACTGCAGGCAGCGGAATGTCTCGTCGAAGGAACAATGGGTCCGTCCTCCTCGTGTGGCGGTTTATTGTTTTAATCTTTATGTCGATCTTGGCCGGACAGTCCACCCTAGGCTTCGCGGGTGACTTGTTGCGCCTGTGTTGCTTGCAGCACCACGTCTTATGGAGCACCATCCTGCAAATGTAGGAGTCTCCATCATAGCAGCAAAACACGATACCGTAAAATACAAGCTGTGAATTCAAACATTTTCTTCGTAGTTATAAACCGGCGAAGGGATGCTGCTCGACTACTTAAAAGAACGATCAACTTACAATTTTGAGATTTCGCAACGCTACAACCAAACAAGCTTTTCTCTTGGCGAAACCCAGCTCGACCAAACTACACGGCTGCTTTCTGACGAGACCACGAAACCTCGAAACTACTTCTCGCTGGAAGCCACATGCCTTTTCTTCCAGCGCAGCACTGGCGATGTTTGGTTGCTAGGTATTCACGTCATTGCTCCCTGTAACCGACCAATCCAGTGTGGCCGCCACTGCTATGCGTCCTATCGCCAAGCCTCTCGAGATAAGCGCTATCGGCCCACCTAAAAGAACAACGAACTGATATTATTGCGATTTCACAAACGTTAATGTACCAGGAACTCGTGCCATGAAACAGCAAGAACTTGTGCCATGAAAGGACATTAAAATAGTGCTTTCTTTTCTGAAAGAGGCCCTGCAAAGCATTTTTGGCCATTTTGTAATGTGCACCGCGTTCGCTCGATCTATTGAGTAAGACTCTAGCAACACATTTAAAATAAAATAAAGAAGAAATCTGACGGTGTTTTGAACATACTAGAAGAAAGAAGTTCAGAATTTTTGGCACATTTTCTATGGTTGATGACATCCTTAGACTGAACCATTAGAGAGCCGAAACGACAAGAGCGTGCAACAAGTATGCGCAATCTTCCCAATTGTTGGAACTAACATTCAGTTATGAAGATGTGAACGCCCCACCGATTTAAGGGTGTTCCAAGCGAAAAATTGAGAGAGAATCACGCGCTTGAAAGGATCCAAAGGGGTCAAGTGCATCTATTCAGCCAGTCCTGCCTCTAGAATTTTACGTCGTCATTATCCGACGCTCTAGACCAATGTCGTCACTGAACGCTCATGTTCGACACTGGTAGGCATGCCCTTCGAGCAGCACTTGGTTTTCTTCGTTCCTTCGTAGTGCCTTTTTAAGGAAGACTAAAGACAATTTTAATATTCACACAGGATGTGTCATAGGGCCGGATTTTATAAGCAAACTCTAATGGGTGACTGTGCACAGAGGTCATGGAAACATAATTCAGACATAGCCCATAGCAGGATATGTATAGACACAATAAAGAATACAGGTTGGTAGGCACCTTGACAGTAAGCTGCCAGCCTATAACCAGGATGTCTTTTCTTTTTTGTGGGGGGGAGTGGTGGTATATCTAGAAAATCTTGCCGGTAAAATTTTGTTGTATGCAGATTTATACGAAAAACTCAAAATCGGCAATCACAATGCCAAAAAACAAACATAAAACATGTCACTTTACCTAAGGAATTAGTGCAAAGATCCATAGGCTCAGAATGTTTTGCCCTCTTTTTTTCGGTTAACCACTACCGTATTTATTCGAATATAGGTCGACCTTTTTTTTTCGGAAATGTTGTCAAAAATTAAGGGTCGACCTATAATCGTGACCAAAGAATTTCGACCTAATTCGCAACCAAAATTTGAAACCCTACCGAGGCTATGGAGCTATCAATCACCTAGCCGGCGTCGCGGTAGAGCCCCGCGGCTTCTTGTTTCAAAAAGCTTTTGATGCACAAAAACAACCGAACAGCAGCAGCCGACAGCCCGTGTCCGCTACGGCTCTCGCGCACATTCCCTCGGCGTCGAGTTTCGCCAGTTTCGCCATCACGCCTGTAGCGTTCCCCTCGCTGGGCAAGGGGGAAGGGGAGAGAGAGGAACGCGATGCGCCACGCACTTTGCCCTCCTATGCGCTCCATTCCTCTCTCCCTTGCAAACGCGCAAACGAACAAAAAAAAAAAAAAGTTGGAGGAGCTTTGAGTTTAGTTTGTTCTTTTCGGCGGGTCGCGTGTTGCTCACGGGGCTCGCAGCGTTGCTCGTGTCTTTGTGTTTGATCTTTCGTCGCTCGCCCGTCTCCACCTTCTTTCGTTTCTTATTGTCGTCATTCATTTTACAACGGTGTCAGTGAGGTATTGTTGCCAATTTGCGAGGATGTCTACCAAGCTGACGAAGCTTTTTTGACATCGCCCTGTGATTTAGCTGAGACTGCTGTAAATAAAGGTTTGTTTCTTTTGCCCTAACTTTCCCCTGTTCCTTAAAAAAAAAAAAAAGGAAGGTCGACCTATATTTGAATTATTTTTTTTTATTCTCGGTGGGCTCAATAAATAGGGGTCGACCTATTTTCGTGGTCGACCTATTTTCGGGTAAATACGGTAACTTTAAAGAAGGGCCGAAAAAGAATGTCAACATAATGCTTCTTGACCTGTCTATAACCCATTCCCCCCAAAGAGCATTACCAGGTCTTAAAAGTTTCCCATATGCTGAGAGGAGGTCCCCAGAAGATAAGTATTGACCTATTGGCATAAATCTATTCACATAATCCTATCGCATGCTACCCAATGCAGCACTCAGTGTTGTGTAGGATGGAAGTTTAAAAAAAAAAAGATGCAAAATGCAAAAAAAATCTTTGTAGCGCATGGACGCACTTATCAAAGATCAGCGCCTTCCTTCCCGCCACTCTCCCCCTCGCTTCGTTTTTGCAGTGGCGTGTAAAGCGGAAGCATTTTCGAGGCTTTGCAAGTTACATTTCTATAACACCTATTAATGACACTCATGAAGTATGTTTTTCACAATGATTGCGAGCACACTAGGCCATTGATTTAGAAATATAAAAACGTGAGAGCCTGGAAGTACTGGTTACAATGTCCCGGCCGTCTCCTAGCTTATTCTCACATCATCGAGATGCTCGCCGGTAAATGGGGAAGTCAGCGACTGCCCGAACGTGGTTCGGACTGTCACTGATGCACATACACATTTACCAAGCTTGAAAGTTCGAGGACCATTTCTAAGTACAATTTGCAGTCATACAAGGTGAAAAAAAAAAAAAACATTGGTCGTGTCAGTAGTTTCTTAAATGTCCAAAAATTGGACAGGCCTAGGACGAATACGGAGATGCTCCGAATGCAGATAATCACGTGTATGTAAACGAGAATTTGCTAGAAATAAAAAGATATTGCATAAGCTCAAAGAATATATTTCTAGATAGTATCTGTCCTTTGTTTAATTTCATTGGTCTAAATAAGAAACGCATGCACTCATACCAAAGCTCTATGTCGGGTTGGCAACCGGCGGCCTACTCCGAGTTTAACTTAGAGCAATTTTGCCTGCTACTACAAAAGATTACCGAAGCCTGCTCTTTTTTTAAAATAATACTTAGAATAAATAATTTTATTACATAGAACCCCCCTCCCCCCCAAAAAAAAAGAGAAAAAAAAAATTTTTTTGAATGGTTATCAGAAAAAGTTAAATTACTCCCCGATTTTCGACAAATACAGTGATGTGACCATCAAATAGTGATTTGATGCATCCAAATATGCATTTTGAAGCAATTTGGAGCACCAAAACATGCATTTTTGGAGCACTTTGAAGCACCTAAATATGAAATTTTGAGCACTTCGGAGCACCTAATATCAAACTGAAAGCACTTCAGAGCACCTAAACTTAGCTTAGAAAAATTTAGGCGGGCAAACCTTGTACTAGAACTCTTTCCACTCTAGTATAAAAACCTGCATTGTTAAGTATACATGAACAGTCACATGTGATGGAGTACTCAACTGTATAGTTGTCATGTTAAAAAAAGTAAATAGCAAACATGTTCATATGATGTGTTATACCTTGTTGACTTCAAACACGAGATCTACCAAAATCTTGTTTTAAGCAGCTCTAGCTGTCTTCACCTGCCTACTTTCTCATATTTTCAACAAGATCCGCTTTTGCCTCAACAAAAAGCCCCTTGCCAAATTTCTTTCTCCTGTATACTTGCAATCCAGCCCCATGTTCATGAGTCCCCGAGAAGCACAAGTGCCACCTGTGACGAGTTCACCGTGTGTGCTCAAATATAAGTCGACACCAGTATAAAAAAATAACTGACAAACTAACCGCGTGCATCAAATTGCGCCGCTATGCACCAGCACTGTCGGGTTAGGCACATCTTTTTGCAGTAGCGCAAGTGCCAAGCTTCACCGCATCGCAGCGGTGTGAAGGGAGGAGCGGCAGGCGCAGCGGAGCATTTTGGTTAGTTTCGATAATTTTACTCACTGGCAAGATTGACCCATAAGCTACAAACAAAACAATTACAAAGAGAAGTGTGCGTCCATTTGAATAAATATGTGCCACTACAGGTTGATCGAACAGCCACTATGCTTAAGTTTTGCTGTAGGCGAGGCTGCCCCTGGCTATTATAGGTGGCAGAAGATGCTCCCAATAGACCATTTGCTGAATCCCCCAAGCGCCCCGGCCCACAATCGAGGAATCATGGGAGTGGTGTTCCTTTAATTCCTTAGTCGTCGGTAATTTCGACCAATTCAATGCTTTCACACTTTTGAGTGTAATCCGGAGTCATCCTGAATAAGCGTTGTATAGAGTGCAAAAACCTGTCATTACCACTTTTAAAAGCTCTCGTCAATGTCAGTGTTTTTGATACTGTGCAGGCCATCCACCCTTCAAATCTTGCCGAGCCGCAGCAATTTCTTACAATATTATCATTCTCGTACAGCAGTGGTTCTCAACCATTGATGTTTCGCTGACCCCTTGTAGATCGGCGGAGATGATGGGGGACCCCGTCCGTGATGAGAGGAGGGAAAATGTACACGTAAATGTCGATAAATATTTAATAAATAAATATAACTAGGGGCTAGTTTGAAGTAGACTTCTCTCATTGACATACACACCAGAAAACTAACCCGAAGATTGGAATATTTCTTCTCAATCTGAAAAGAGTATGACTTTTATTGCCGAGCTTGACTGATGAGGCGATGCTTCGCGGACCCCTAGAAAGCCTTCGCGGGTCCCAGAGGGTCCGCGGACCCCTATTTGAGAACCACTGTCGTACAGCATCAAAGACGCTGATATTAACTTGAAACACTAAAAATGCTATAAACAGCCCTGCTGACTCCACGCTAAATCCTGGTTTTGGTTGTGAATTCTCGGCTTTTCAAGCAATTCCTGCTAAAACAACAATCACAGGAATGATGATACTGCAAGAGAATTCTGCAGGTCAGCCAGGTTGAAAGGTGGATTGCATGCACAGTATCAAAAAGGCTGACATTGATGAGAATTTTTAAAAGTGATGTGACAGGTCTTTGGAGTCTACACGACGCTTATTTAGAATGACTCTGGATTACACTCACAAAGTGTGTAACCATCGAATTGGTCGAAATTACGGATCACTAGGCAGCTAAAAGAACATTGTTCCCACGGTTCCTCGAGTGTGGGCTGGGGCGCTTGGGGATTTAGCACGTGGTCTATATCTAGTCATCTAGTTTTAGAGCACTCTGGTGCAATATCGTGGATTTTTATCAGGATGGCGCAGGAAATGACTTTTGGCGCAAACAAGGAGTGGAACCACTACAAATAAGAAACTCGAAAACGAAGGATCCTGCCGATATACATGGCGACCTAAATATACCGAGATTGCGTTACCTTTGACATCGCTTTGTCGACTTGACAGAATCTACAATCCACGATGTGTTGGTGCGCAAGCCATACTGCTCCACCCACACGCAAGCCGCACGTTCATCACGCAGGTTGGCACGCAGGACCTCTACTTCGCTCGACGAAGACGAGTCGTCTCTGACGCACACTACTGCATCCGTGGCTGCCATTTTCGGTCATCAAGCCTGAAGCCAGAAATATCTTCATAAAACAACAAACACTAGAAAGGGTTCAAAAGAACAACAAACTTCAGTATTCCTAACTTCCTTCAGTCATACTATAGCCATCAAGCAGAGCCCAGAGATTCACTCAAACACAGCAACCAAAAAGGGAATAGGTTAAAGGTAGGCCTGGGCAAATAGGAAGGATTTTAGGGTCGAATCGAATTCAAAGTGTATACTGATAATTGCCGAACACTAGATGTATCGCATGCCACCTTTGCAAGGTATGTATACTATATTAGAAACAAGAAATGTGACATCATGTAAATACCTGTGGCTAAATCTGGTGTTAAAAGGATAGTAAAAACGCCTATTTCAATAATTACTCACACTTAATACTATTTTAACTGCCTTTGCCAATTCAGGCGATTATACTTTACTAATATTAGTTACAAGATTGAAAGTTAAACATGCTATCAATTTCAATTAAAATTTGATCTGAACTGGCCAGATAAGATACAATTTTTATTAGTTTCATCGGAACCACAGTTTTTTATGTAACCGTGCGTCATCGTCCCCGCCTAGAAGTTCTTTGAATATGCACCTTTATTTTATCTTCGTGACAAAAAAATGTCAGGAATGGAACTTCAAGAACTTGCATTTTGCAATGCAAAGACAGGCACACTAGAATCGCGCAGTGGCAATCTTTTTGTCATTTCCTTGGCCTTCGGCACCACTGGTGTCACTTTAGGTCTAAACACAGTAGCCGCAGATAAATGCGATAGGCTTTCTCGACCCAGATCTAGTAACGTCGGTCCTGAACTGAGTTAGCTCTGTACTTGCCGTGATGCCTCTTCATACAAGAAAACATCATCATCACTGGTCACTTATAGTTCTGGGCGCAAAATTGCACCAGAACTTCCGTTTTCTCGTTTGCCCAATGCATTCTAGCAGCGATAGCTAAAGCGATGCAGCCCACTGAAGCAGGCAGCAGCTTGAGCCACCTATCCAGAGGAGCGCTAGTGAGCGGTGGTACCCAAACCCGATTACTTGGCTGGACCCAGTAATTCAATATTTTCGAATACATAAATTCAAGTCTAAGCGAGTATATAATAATTCCATCGAATATTCGAGAAGCAGAATATTTGCCCCTGTCTGGTCAAAGGGACATGAAAATTAAAATTTGTGGTGCAAACGTGCCATAACAGCAACTACAACAAGTATGTTTCAAAAATGACAAAATTTTAAGAGAGAATGCGGTAAAAATGTATTAACTGCGAAAACAATTTTTGCATTTTTCCTCCCCCCTCCTCTGCTGAGAATTCCTGAAAGCTCTCTCCACGACGTCAGCCCTCCGAGGCTGCCAGCTTCGCCGAATCATGCCATCACAGTTACAGCGATTCTTCCCATTCTATCGGTTGGTGGCTTGAGCTACCTAGTGATGTTTTGGACAATGTTACTCGACATAACCGCTTACATACCCCATTGATCTTGGTTGTGCACAGCTGCCTCACTTTCACTGGTCATTTCTCCTGACTTAGGCGCTTTTCTGACAATTCCCTGACTTTTGTACATGCTAGAAATACCCGTTTTAAAAGAAAAGAAAAACCTTGGGAAGGGCGTCAACCCCTGGGAGCAATGGACTGCATCGGGAGTGCCACCACAACTGTGTGCTATGTGGCCGAGGCAGTTTCCCGACATCTCCACCCAGAAAATTTAGAGCCACACTGACCTTCCGCTTCAGCTGAGGCGAGATGCGTGCCAGCAGACGGGAACTGGGGGGGAACCCATAAGGTGAGGGTCAACACCTGGAAGTAGTGCCGGCGCGGCGATCTAATTACATCAGTAGATCACAGAGTACACTCTCGAAGCTGCCAAAAGCTAGCGTGCGATTCCTTTGCTCAAGTTTACCCAGGCTCATGTTTACCCAGAAGCTTTTTCTAGGGTAATTGATCAAACATATACGACTAACATCTAAACATTGCGCTAAAAGAGTCGACTCGATAGGTTTAACATAAAGGAAAATGACGGGTAGGTCTAATGCACCTACAAACACAGCTTTATTCTTAAAGGAAAACAAGCGGTTCCGTATGCGAGAAAAAACGCCTAAATCGTCTTCCCATGGCCTCCAGGATCACGGATATTGAGATTGTTTTTAAATTTGGTGCACGGAGGCTGGAGAAATTAATTTTCAAAGTACCGCAAAGCTTCTCCTTCCCGGGTTGTGACGTCATATTAAGAGTTTTCGGAATCTCCGCTCGTGCTGACACCAGTCAGCGCAAGCGGAGATTCCGCGCTGACCGGTGTCAACGCAGAAAAATATACCTGGCAAGCTCGCAATTGTGTGCACTGCCCACAGCGACATGCGCTTGGTGGCCCAAAGATCTTAGTATGACGTCACGACTGGTCGGAGGTTTTTTGTGTTTTCTCGCATCTTGTTACATCTTCGGGCAAAACAAACGTGATATTCAGATTCACGGGATAAAAATATGTCAGAATTCAGCTCTAACTTGTTTTTTTCAAGAAGTGCTTCAGCTTCCCTTTAACCACATTAGCCTGTAGCAGTGTTGGCAAGTACTTTAAGTAAGTTGTACTTAAAGTACTACTTTAAGTAGGATTAGAAAATTTGTACTTTACTTAAACTTCATTCTCCGTGTATGTGTACTTCACTGTTTCTGGTACTTTCCAAGGAGAGTACAACTCCTGACTTCAAAGTACATTCTATAAATCTGACCTTGTTAATTTTGTATCACAAAATGATGCTTTCTCACTCTGAAGCAATACGTGGAGGGATACCCTACACTCACCAGAAACCCTAGCCGACAACGCATCGCTTATCTGGTCATTTCTCCGAGTAAAGTAATGTTGGCTATAAGATCAATACAAATAAGTACCCTATCAATTGATCGAGTTAAAATAGTTTGTCAGCAAAAGTAAAGCAACCACACTGTGGCTACCTGACTTTATCCAATATTCGGCACCATTTCCAAAAATTCCTGATTACTGATTATGGAACGAAAGGGCAGCATAAAAGATTCTGTTACAAAGTACTTGACTTTACTTTGAAAGTACATTGTATTTATAGTACTTCAAGTACATTGTGCCCGGTGTACCTACTAGTTTACTTGAAGTACATAACCTTCACTTACTTTGTACTTCAAGTACTTTTTAGATGTACTTTACCCAATACTGGCCTGTAGTTACAGTTAAAGCAACTGGTTTATAACCATCCTTGTTATGTGAAAAACGTCTGTACAAGTAGCTGCCTTGAAATGCCCTTAATTGATGGGCTAGTTGGTTAAACATAGTAAACGAAAAGTATCGCAAGAACACGGTAAGAAGAAGACAGGGACAGGAAAGAGCGATACTAACAACCAACTTTTTAATATCTAGGAAAGGAAGACAAAGTCCACAGTAGTAGATAGAAGAATAAAAATTAAAAAAAAAATAAAATAGTACTATACATCAAAATAGGAAAATTATTTGTAAGCTTATATTAAAAGAAAGAGTTATGCACATAAATAAGTACCTTGCTTTCACTAAGGATAAAAAAAATGGAAAAGAAAAAAGAAGTAACAGATAAAAAAAGGGCCATTCAAGTTCTTCTTTCTTTTCTTTTTTTGTAAACAATGAATAGAAAAGAAGGACATTCCTATTTACAAGTCTCAGGAAGCAAGGCTCAAATACTATGCTAGAGTACAGTTCACCCAGAAAGAATAAAAACACAGACAATATGCGAGGGACAGACACACACAGTTCTTAAGTCAACTCCATCCAAAGCGCTCCGCTACATGTACCTAACTGTACTATAGTTCCTTCGCCAACAGGATCATCAAAGGTGCACTAACACAGTTTTCGCCGTTGGAGAGTTGGAGAGAAAAAAAGTCATCTCCTTATGAAAACTTGATGACGTAGCTGGGGGTCCCAGTACCTCCCAGTGACGATATTTGAATGCGGCTCATAGGTTGGACCCGAGCATTGGTTGGGCACCCGATTTGGGCTCGTGATAATCGATAGCTCGAGAAGCATTCGGGTAGTGGCCCGTGTCCAATTGCGGCAATGATGATAATAGCCGAACCATAACAATATTTGGAACTCAGTGCGTCTCCTGTGCCTTGCCAACCCCAGCGCGTGGCTATGATCAACATTGGCAGCATATAACCGGCTCCAGATCACGTGGCCGCTTGTTCTGGCTGCAAGTTGAGGGGGTGAATGCTGCTCATTTTCTTTCATTTTTTCTGCGACTTCGACTGTGTGTGGTGGAAAACAAAGTGTTTCACGGGTCATCAACGTCAGGGATCCGTTGCAAGCGGTACTTGCGCAAAGTACAAAAATCTTTGCATCACCCGTTTGAAGGGATACTGACAGGGTATTTAAGCTTGCCAAGGTTTTTATTTGTACATGACATGTGGAAGGAATACTGACAGGGTATTTAAGCTTGCCAAGGTTTTTATTTGTACATGACATGTGAAAGCACTACTACCCAGAACACAAATTGCAGCTCGAAATTCGTTTTCTTTCCACCCCAAAACCACCGATTGAGAACTGGCTGGTTTGAATCGCGCTCACCCTCTTCTCTGTGGTCACGTGCCGTTTTCTATGGTTTAGACACAACCACCAAAGATAGTTAAAGTCATGGGTCATTGGAGGCGTACACTTAAAGGGGCACTGACACCCCAAAGGTAGTATTTCTTTTTTTCTGTCTAAAACGATGCAAGTTGTAGTCATACGGCATGTGCACGTTCTTTTTTTTATTTTTGGTGTCCTTCTCTTCCGCTCCTCACCTCCTCGCTTCTTTTGATTTGAGATATCAAATATCATGAAATTTAGAAGCTTTGTAGGCGACATTTCTATAACATTTAATAACGGCAATCGTAAAACATGTTTTTTAATGCAATTGCGACTGCACTACGGCCCTTCTTTTTGAAATACCAAAAATCAAAGTTTGTTGTGATGTCGCCTCCTGGATTTTTATCCTCCCTCAGAAAACATGGCTGATCAATGAGTCGGGGTATCGGACGAAGTGGTCTTTTTTAGGTGCCTGACAACCTCTCAGACTTCGAAAAGGAAATCGTCAAACGGTCCAAACAATGATATTGTAGTGAGTGCGCAGGCGAGCTGGTGGAAATTAACCATTCTGATGTTAGCCTGAGACTGAGGCAGGAAAAGAGGAAGTTTCAAAGTAGAAGAAAAAGGAACAGTCGAGGATACGTCTCTAACACAGCTAAAGACAAGTTTATTCGGTCACCCTCTTATATACACTCCACAATCTTCACCACAGAACCTTCGCGACCTCCAAAGCCAAAAGATAACAAAGAACTCATCTCTTTCCACCACAATAATCAAACGTCCTTGACAATCCTACAAAGCCCCCTCACCAACACAACCTAGCTCCTCTCTCCCGGAAGACGATCGACCTTCGCGTACATAGCACACCCTCCTCCTCTCCTCCCCGGCCCACAATCCCGAAACAACCCGGCAACAAAAGATACCAATCCACCTGATCCAAACCGAAGACACAAAGGAGGAAACCACTTACACCCTTTCACAATCAACAACCACTTAACAAAACTCTCAAATCCGCAAGAAGGTTTTTGTACTGCTGCTAAGCTGTAACGACACTTGACTAATGCAGTTGCCCATTGATTTCATTCTTATTGTTTCCTTTACAACCCTTTTGATGTTGTTTACTTCCCTGTGTATTATTTCTGTTTCGGACCAGCGTGGTATACAATTATTACATTCTTGAACATGTTTCGCTATTTCCGAATCAGTCGCGTTGTTTTTGACATTTCTTTTGTGTTCAGTCAATCTATCATTTATACACCTCGACGTTTGACCCACATACTTAAAACCACATTCCAGGGGAATTTTGTATACCACTCCATTATCACACGGAATAGACTTTTCTCGATGCATTTTTGTGCATTCCCTTACACTCTTGTGGAAGGGCGTGAGCTTACTCAACTTATAGTCGGAACTAAAAACCAGATCAACATCGAACTTTTTTGCACAAGCCTTCAAGTTGTGAGAAATTTTGTGATAGTACGGAATTACAGTAGTTCTATGTTTTGGCCTTTGCTTTGGTTCTCCTCTACATTTGTCTGCGAATTTTACGGATAACTGCTTCCCTACGAATTCATCCCGATAACCAGCACTGTTTAGCCTTCTCCACTGCCTTTTCACTGATTCAGCCAAGAAATGAGTACATGATCTGTCCATTGCATTTGTGATTAAAGACTTGACAATACCTGCTTTGACTGTTTTTGAATGGCAACTGTTTTTTGATAGCAGCGGTTTTGCGTTTTCTTTTCCATATTCCCAACATAGCCCTTTTTCATTGTGAATCATAAGCTCTAAAAACTGCAGTTTACCATTCATGGGTCGTTCGACTGTAAACCTCAGTTCCGGGGCAGCCGATCTGATCAATGCTTCCAGAGTGTCGGATAATCCCTCCCGAAAAGAACAGATCAAAATGTCATCGACATATCTTTTCACAAAACAGGATTCCGACGTCAGTTCTTGCAACTTATCAGATACAATGCAATCCAAAGAATTTAGGTAAATTTCCGCTAACGCCGGTGCTACACTCGACCCAATGCATACTCCCTCTTTCTGTAAATACTTTTTTCCTTTTTTTTCCTTTTTTTTTCCTAACGGCAGTTCGGTGGCAACCGCCGTTGCCACCGAACTGCCGTTGCGGTGGCAACGGCGGTTCGGAGCGGAGGCGTAAAAGAAAGTCGACTCGCAGAACGGCTCAATATATTTGACGTCACAGCCCTGGCGTGGATCGCGCAGGAACTTCAAA